CCTGGAGGCCACCATGGGCAGGAGCCACAGTGGGGACCCCATTCTGCACCCCTTGATCCTCTTGAGCTGCCAACCCCATCCTAAAATCCTGCAGGAATTCTGGGCACTTCCCTGGATGCTGCAGAAGACCAAACTCTCGTGATTAATTCAATATTCAGAGGATTTTGGTCATGGAAAGGGAAGAGGAAGGGTTTGCTGCAGGGCTGAGCATTGCCCCCACTCCAGCATCCCCAAAACGGCACGTGGGGGAGAGGGGTGGGTCCCAAAAGGGAGAGCAGGGTGCCCAGAGGAGGGGAGCCAGCAGAAAACCAGCTCCCACCGGCCCAGCTCGGTGGCACCAGAGCGGCTGGGGACATTTCCAGCATTGCTGAAGGGTGACAGGTCTCATTGCTGACCTCGCTGGCAGGAGCAGCCCTGGGAAGAGCTGCGACCACTGCAGAGCAGGAATGCCCCGTTAACCCCTTCCCAGCCAGGAATGGCTGCCCAAAATCTCCTGCCACCTCACAGCTCTCTCCTGCTGCTGCAGGGCCGCGAGGACAGACAGACAGACAGACCTGGCACCCCAAGGGCACAGACAGATGACACCAAACCCCATTTCCTGAAGGAGCCCCGGGCAGCACCAGCCCCCTGCTCGGGATCAGATTAAAGTTCAGGGCGTCTGCCGGGGTGGTTTGGAGTTTTCCAAGAACATTATTTATACTGCAGAAAAGCGCCCTGCAGCCATCCATCACGGGCTGGCAGCTGCCAGGCTGTGCGAGGGCAGCTGAGCTGGCTGCCCGCAGCCACAGGGCCCCCAGCCTGCCCCAGGAGAGGGGCACAGAGCCTGGCGTGCCCCCAGCCCCACAGGGCGTGCTGGCACAGCCCAGCTCCAGGATGTGAGCTCCCCAATCTCGCTTTGCAAAGCTGCCCCCGTGCCTCAGTTTCCCCAGTTGTACAGCTACTGGTCAGCGAGGAGAGGAAGAGGAGGAGCCCGGGCTGGCATCCATGGGCAAAGCAGGGCATGAAAACTAAGAGGCTGCATCCTGCCACCCAGGCAGGCTGTCCCTGTGCTCTGGGAAGGGCACAGGCAGCAGCGTGAGCTGGCAGCGGGTCCAGGAGCGGGGCTGGCAGGGAAAGCACAGGGGCTGCCCCAGGTGGGGGCTTGGAGGTGTCCCCCCGAGGAGAGCCCACACACAGAGCTTTGCCACGCACGGTGCCAGCACGGGGGGTGTCACAGGAGGGGACAGCCCAGCTTTTGGGGTCCCACGGCCCCGAGGGTGGCTGGGGGGCTGCAGGGGCAGGGGGGCACAGCCCCCAGCCCCACTCTCCTGCTGTGTTTAAAGCCCCCGTTAGGTAACACAGCCTGTCCCTCTGACCCCCCGCAGCAGCCATGGGGCAGCCGCGCCCCGGCTCTCCTGCTGTGTTTAAAGCCCCCGTTTAAAGCCCCAGAGGGACACAGCCTGTCCCTCTGACCCCCCGCAGCAGCCGTGGGGCAGCCGCGCCCCGGGGACACCCCCTGGCTCCGGGCTGTCCCCCACAGTGCCACCCCTCGTGTCCCTGCCAGGGGACAGGCAGCTCGTGGCGCTGTCACCGGGCCACTCCGCAAGGACAGCTCAGCCCAGGAGCACCTGGGACCTGCAGGACCCCAGGGACACCGCGGGGATCCGGAGAGACCCCCAGGGATGCCACGGAGGAGTGGGAGCACCTGCAGAGAGCCAGGGCATCCCCAAGGGATGGGGGTTAAAGAAACACCAGAGACACCACGGGGGACCCCACAGAGCCGGGAGGGGACACTCAGGGGGACCCCAAAACACGTGGAGGAAATGGGGCACGGGGAGGGAACCGCAGAGATCCTGGAGGAGATGGGGCACCCACAGACACCCGGAGGGGTCCCATGGGGGAGTCCAGGGAAAACGAGAACCTGCAGGAGATGGGAGAGCTGGGGAACCTGCAGGAGATGGGAGAGCCCCACAGGAGATGGGGCACCTGGGGAGCCCCGCAGGAGATGGGGCCGGCGGGGCGGGGGTCGCGCCCGGAGGGGCCGCATCCAGCCGTGGGGCAGCCGCGCCCCGGGGACACCCCCTGGCTCCGGGCTGTCCCCCACAGTGCCACCCCTCGTGTCCCTGCCAGGGGACAGGCAGCTCGTGGCGCTGTCACCGGGCCACTCCGCAAGGACAGCTCAGCCCAGGAGCACCTGGGAGCTGCAGGACCCCGGGGACACCGCGGGGATCCGGAGAGACCCCCAGGGATGCCACGGAGGAGTGGGAGCACCTGCAGAGAGCCAGGGCATCCCCAAGGGATGGGGGTTAAAGAAACACCAGAGACACCACGGGGGACCCCACAGAGCGGGAGGGGACACTCAGGGGGACCCCAAAACACGTGGAGGAAATGGGGCACGGGGAGGGAACCGCAGAGATCCTGGAGGAGATGGGGCACCCACAGACACCCGGAGGGGTCCCATGGGGGAATCCAGGGAAGAGGAGAACCTGCAGGAGATGGGAGAGCTGGAGAACCTGCAGGAGATGGGGCACCTGGGGAACCCCGCAGGAGATGGGGCACCTGGGGAGCCCCGCAGGAGATGGGGCACCTGGGGAACCCCGCAGGAGATGGGGCACCTGGGGAGCCCCGCAGGAGATGGGGCCGGCGGGGCGGGGGTCGCGCCCGGAGGGGCCGCATCCCCCCCGGCAGGGAGCGCTGCGCGGGGGCTCTCACCGATTTGGGCTTCTTTTTGGGGGCGAGGTTGTCGTAGAAAGCCTTGGCTTCATCCCAGGGCCGCCCCGGAGCCCCGGCGGGGCCCGGCGGCTCCATGGCCCGGCGGCACCGGGGCACCGGCGGTACCGGGGCACCGGCGGCTCCGCTCCGCGCGTCCCGGCAGCTCCCGGAGCCGCGGCCGGCCCGGCGGAACGCGCTTTATATGGCATCCCATGAAGCTCCGGGGTTTCAGTCCACCGGGACACGGATTAACCTCTTCGGGACCGAGCGCTCCTCGCCGGTGATACCGGGGAGCTGCGGGGGGACTGAGGGGGGAGCCCCCGCTCCGGGGCGGAGAACGAGGGGAGGGGGCTGGGGACAGAGGTGGCCTCGGCAGAGCCCCGGGGGGACGCGGAGCAGGAGGGCTGGGTCCCCGGTGTGTCGCCGCCCGGTTCCCGGTGTGTCACTGCCCGGTCCCCGGTGTGTCGCCGCCCGGTCCCCGGTGTGTCGCCGCTCCTGCCCGTCCCCAGCCGCGGGTTTGGCCATCCCTGGGAGCACAGGGAAGGGCACCGGGGCGGTCAGAGCTGTCACAGGATGGAGCAGCCGGGGAGGACGGAGGGCGGTGGGACCCTGCTCCGTGCCGCGGTGACCTGTGACATTCACTGGTTAATGAATGAGTGTTAATTAAGGCTCTCCTCTGCCAGGAGTGCTGGTGGGAGCAGCTCAGGCTAAAAATTCCATCATGAGCAGCAGAGCCCCAGGAGCCCTGGGGGAGCAGGGGGTGCACCCAGAGACCAAAAAGGGACAAGGGGTGGAAGATCTCACCTGGAACAGGGCAGCTCCTCGGGGAGGTCACAGAGCAAGGTTTTATTCAAATCCCTGTGCTCCAGCTAAAGAAAAACCCTCCCTACAGACAAGAGCCCTGGGGACCCTCGTGGTGTCTCTCCACGAGCCCAACCCACCAGCGAGGTCCAAGCAGGAGAGCAGAGCCAGGGGAAGCTGTGTGAGCAGGGCTGGCAGCAGGAATCCCAAACCCTTTGGGGATTCGGCCTCATTTCAGCCTCACACGTTTCCTTTCCCCCAGGGCTCCCTGCTGGGAAACCTGAGCTTCTTTTGGGGTGGCCCCCGGGGAAGCAGGAGCTGGGAGGGCCCCGGGATCACCGGGCTATTCTTGGAGTTCTCTCTCGAGCTTCCAGGCAGCAGCCCTGGCACGTCCCCAGCTCCCTCAGGGTGAGAGATCCTGCCCCGTTCCCTCTTCCCAGGCACCGCCGAGCTGCACACCCACACGTGCTCCTGGAAAGCACAGCGAGGTGCAGAGCTCTCCCAGCAGCAGCTCTCCTAAAAATACACCCCTGCCTGGTCCTGGCACCCTCCCATGCCCGTGCTGGCTGCTGCAGGACACACCGAGGGCTGGGGGATTGCAGGATGCAGAGCTGGGAGCCAGCCCCGCCAGACGGATTCAGAGGAGGATGAAAATTTGGTGAGAGCTCCTTAGCAACAGTCACTGTCTGTGCAGGCTGCCGAGGGAGAAGAAAGGCCAGAGGAAAATCTGTGCGGGGAAGATGGGGGTGGAGAAAAAAGGGACAAAGATGCACAGAGAGCAGGTCCCAGCTGCTGACAGATGGAGCCCAGGACGAAGCCACCAGCCCTGAGGGAAGGGCACAGCCAGGGGCCAGCTCCTGGCTGTCAAATGAAACCCATCTCCAGCGAGGTTTGGGGTCTGGGCCTCCCCACCCCAAAAGTGACATTCTCTTCCCCACAGCTGCCTGCACGACTGAAGGGTTTCACTTCCACCCACCTCCAGGCTCCCCAGCCTGAGCCCCCCTGTGCTGTCCCCAAGGGTTTCTCCACCCCTTGGGGTGTCCCAGGCTCAGGTGAGACCCCTAAAATATCCTCAGAAGTGCAGTGTTGTCACCTCACTGTCCCAGCCAGCTGTCCCCCCCCAATAAACCATCCAGAGGGGGACACCACACACAGGGGACAGTTTATTTTCCCATTAAAAAAATAAGTAACGACTTCACCATCTCCTAACAGACACCACAGCCACCAACACCACAATGTGCAGGCTAAACAGCAGCCTGGTGCAGACTAAACACCAGCCTGGGACAGGAGGGGTGGATGCTGCAGGCTGGGAGGGGGGAGGAAGGAGACAGATTTGTTTCTGGTGGCCTCAGAGCTTTTCCAGGAGGCTCAGCAGGGACAGGACCCATCCACACGTCCCCACAGCAGTGCCACACAGCCAGGAGCAGCACCAGGACCTGCCTTCCACACCCACACCCCTGAGCCTGCCTCCAGTTTGGGACTGCAGGCGTCACCTCCATCTCCAGGAGCGCCACAGGGCACCCAGGGAACCTGAGGGGATGGAAGGTGGCCGCTGGGATGGGACACTGGCCACATCCAGGGCTGGCTTTGTGCATTTCTGTTCCCTGCTGAAGTGTCCTGACCAAGCCTGGCTGTTCCCAGCAGGGAAAACAGAGGTGGAAGAGCTAAAGCTGGTGCAAGAGCCTGCCCTGGCCTCTCCAGGCAGCCTTGCAGGGAATTGCCATGGAGGAAGGAGCAGGACTTGGGGCTTTTCAGCCTCCCTGGAGACATCACAAGCCAAAAAGTGGGGGGAAAGCAGCAGGAAGGGGACAGAGCTGGTCTCAGTCAGGATCAGGGAAAGGGGCAGGTGGAGCAGTAGGGAAAGCAGGGAGAAAGCAGCAGGGATGTGGGAACAGCTGGCCCTGCTCAGCCAGGACACAGCAGTGGCTGCAGGGCATCCATCTCCAGGGTGGGAGAGGGCTGCCAGCGCTCAGAGCAAGCTCTGACCTCGAGGATGTGGAGTGTGGGCTGCCAGGATGCACCCGAGCAGGGACAGCAGGGACGGAACGTGGCTCATGCCTGGGGCCAAACGGGGGCAAAACAGGGATTGAAACCATCACAGGGGCAGAGTTTGGCTGCAGCCAGTCCAGCCCTGAGGCCCAGGGCCCTATTTCTGCATGTCACACTGCAGGAGCAGGACGATGGAGGGGTCGCTCTTGGCGGCCTCCTTGAACTCCTCCAGGGAGATCTGGTCGTCCTTGTCCTTGTCCATCTTTGTGAAGATCTTGTCCACTCGCTGCTGGGGTGTCAGCCCGTCCTGGTTCATCCTCATCATGATCACAGTCCCCACCATCTTGTAAATGGCCTGGAGGAGGAGGAGAGTGGGAATGAGAGGGAATGTTGGACGGACACAAGGTCCCGGGACAAGGCAGGGGACAGGGACAGGATCGCTGCTCTGCTGGGACCCTGCTCTGTCAGAGCCACATCAAGCGCCCTTCAGACAAAGCTCAGGGTAGGAAAACTCATTCTTTGGTGCTAAAAGGGACCCGACATCTGTGGAAAATCCTGGGAAAAGCCAGCAATCCCTGCTGGCTTGAAGCACCAGTACCTCAATGATCTCCAGCATCTCCAGGCGCGTGATCTTCCCGTCCCCGTCCAGGTCGTACATCTCGAAGGCCCAGTTGAGTTTCTGCTCAAAGGTGCCCCTGGAGGTGACAGACAGGGCACAGATGAACTCCCTGAAGTCGATGGTGCCGTCCCCGTTCTTGTCGAAGGTGCGGAACGCGTGCTGGGCAAACTTGGAGGCGTCTCCATAGGGGAAAAACTGCGGGAGGGAGAGAAGAGGGACTGAAATGAGGAGGGGGGAGCTCGGCAGGGAGGCTGCGCCTGAGGTGCTGCAGACCCCCACCTTGATGTAGAGCTGCTGGAACTCCTCCAGGTTGAGGATGCCGGTGGGGCAGTCCTTGAGGAAGCCCTTGTACCACTGCTTCAGCTCCTGCTCGCTGAACTCCGTGCTCCTCACCAGGTCATCCAGCATCTCCGGGGCCAGCTTGCTGCTGTGCTTGCCCATGGCTGCCCCTGGGAAGGAAAACCCACAGCAGGCTGGGGAGGGATGGTCCTCCCAGCCCTCATCCACCCCGGCTGGTCCTGTGTCTCTGATCCACCCGGCTGATGGGTGTCCGTGGAGGAAATGGAAATCCACCTGGCACTGGAAATGTGGCTTTGCTGCTGGAGGTGTCCAGGAGCTGGCCCTGGCACAGCCCACCAGGGCAACCAAAATGGGCACCACCCACCCCCCGTGCTCATTTTGGGCAGCAGGAAACCACTCAGAAAGCAACTGAAAATTCAGAACTCTTCCCACGGCCTTTGCCAGAGCACGATCGTAGAATCCTGGAATGGTTTGGGTTGGAAAGGAGCTGATTTAGTTCCAGCCACGCTGCCATGGGCAGGAGCACCTTTCACCAGCCCCCTTCTCTGAGGGTGGCACAAGGAAGAATCTGCCATTGGGGCACATAAAAACCTCCCTGGCACTGCGGCCCTCACAGCAGCCAGCTGGCCACAGGGGTGCCCATCCTGCAGCTTGGTGGGAACGGGGTGGGTGAGGCTGCTGTCACTGCCTGGGGCTAGGGCTAGGGTCACACCTGGGGCTAGGGCTAGGGTCACACCTAGGGTTGGGGTTAGGGTCACACCTGGGGTTAGGGTTAGGGTCACACCTAGGGTTGGGGTCACACCTAGGGTTAGGGTTTTGAAAACCACAAACCCCAGAACTCTAGGCACACTGCAGCTGCCAAAGGAGTTCCAAGGAGAACACAAAAGTGCCAAAACATGGCTTCCTCCACGGCTTTTTCCCTGGAGCCACTCAGCCAGCGGGGTAGAGCAGCAGGCAGCCCTGGCAGGCCCTGGCTGTGTGGGCAGGGAGCTGCTCCGAGACGTGCCGTGCCCGCTCCCACGCAGCCTGGGCTGCCAGCGCCGCTCAGCCTGAGCAGCAGATGGTTCTCCGGGAGCTCCTGGAGCTTCTCTCTCCGTGAAGTTGAGGAGAAGTTCTCCTGGAGCCCAACCAAGCACCGTGTCCTCTCAGGGATGTGATGTGCTGCTGGCCCAGTGTGGGCTTGGGGCACACGGGGGGCACCCTGGCATGGGTGGTGTGGGGTTCCTCGTGCTCCCAGCCAAGCCCACAGGCAGCAGCTCCTTCCTGCCCCATCGTCCCACCAGCATCTGCCACGGCAGCCTGGGGAGTGCCCGGGCACCCACAGAGCACAAGGCTTCCCCAGCCACCCCAGATCAGCTCCACAAATGCCCCTGGGGCCGTGGCCTGGCTCTGAATTGCTGGATTGACCATAAACCATGCCAGGCACTCAGCCTGGGCACACCTGCCTGGGCACACTCTGCCTAGGCATACTCTGCCTGGGCACACTCAGCCTGGGCACACTCAGCCTGGGCACACTCAGCCTGGGCACACCTGCCTGGGCACACCTGCCCTGATCCAAGCCCTCCCACGGCTGGGGGATGCAGCCCCTCAGCTGCCAGGACTCCAGAGCAGCCTCCTGAGCCCCACAACCCCCAAACCCCTTTCCAAGCAGCACCCAGCCATGCCAGGGCAGGGACAGCGCCCAGGAGGGAGCCACGCTCACCCCAAAGCAGTCCCAAACCCGGACACAGGGGTGGCACCACGGGTGAGCCCCCGGGGCAGCACGGAGCCCCCCACCCTGCAGCAGCACCCCAGGGTGGCACCAGCGGGCAGGGACGGGGCTGGGCGCTCGGGGATGCTCTGCCCACCCGCACCACGGGACCGCTCCGGGCCGCCGGCCCCGGCCCCGGCTGGAAGCGGCTCCGGGAGCGGCTCCAGCCCCGACGGCGGCCCCGCACCGGGGGGAGCGGGTTCCCGGCCCCGCGGGGGGCCGGGATGCTGGGACGGGGGTGCGGGGGGAGGGCCCCGAACCCCTGCACCGGGGACACTGGGACACGCCGGTGGCCCTTTGCTTGGCACAGGCACGGCTGAAGCGCACAGGAGAGAGGGACAAGAAAACCACTTTGATCTCCAGAGCCAAACGCGGAGTGTTTCCATGGAGATCGCCGAGCGCTTTTCGCGGTGACCTTGGCATCCCCGCTGTGATCCCAGCGCCGCTGGGCCCGTCCCGAGCTGCCCCTCTGCCTCTGGTGCCCACTGGGCCTGGAGGAAGTCTTTGGCCAGCCAGGGCTGCTCCCCACCCCATCCCACCCCATCCCATTCCCATCCCATCCCACATCCCATCCCCATTCCCCTCCCCTCCCATCCCACCCCAGTGGGGCTGTGGGGTGCTATGGGGTCTCAGCCCCCCTCCAAGGCACCTGCCCTCAGGTGCCCCCCCCTTTTCTCTGCAGGAAGCAGCAGAGACTGCCCCAGCTGGGGCTGAGGCAGGGCTGGGTTACAAAACCCACAAATATTGGCAGCAGTGGGGCTGGGGCCCCCCCAGGGCTGGGTGTGACCTCCTTGTGCCAGGGCTGGACCCCACCCGGAGCGAGGTGATTCTGCCCCGCGGATTTGGGGTCACCTCCACAGCCTGTGCTGGGCACGGGACGCGGCTTTGTGGCCCCAAAGCCTCTCCGTGAGCGTCCCCGAGAGCTGGGGGGGTGGGATGAGCCCCCCCGGCCCCGCTGGCTGTTCTTGGATGTGGAGTAAAGACACCAATTAGCAGCTCTGCAAACCGCCCGTGCCCGGCGTGCTCCGGGGGACTGAAAAATTAATGAGGGCTTAATTGAAGCAGCGCAGGCTGCCTGGGATGGGAGCAGCCCGGCTCAGCCCACGGGGAGGGGGAGCCGAAGGGGCTGGAGGAGGCAGGGGAGCCCCAGGTGACAGGGATGCCCTTGGGGTGAGGAGCGGGGTGACTGTGCGGTCCTGGCATGTCCTTTTTGGGGCCCTGACACCCAAAGGTGGGGCTGGGATGGTGCCTGGGGGTCGTGGAGGGCTGAGCACACCGGCACAGCACTGGAGCACCCAGCTGAGCCCAGCGCCCAAACTGGGGCACCCCAAAACCTTCGTGAGCCCAGGCGTGAAAGGGACATTGACCCTGAGTTTGCGGAGGGGACAGCCGGGTGTCTGGGGGGGACAGCGCTGCTCAGGCAGCCACAGCTTTTCCCAGCAGCATCCCCAACACCCAGCCCCGCGGGCAGAGCTGCCAGGGCGCTGCCGAGCCCTGGAAAACCTCCCTGCCCAAGGGATGCGAAGGGCTGCAGCTTCCCCCAGCGGCTGCGGGCTGCAGCAGCACGGCCCGGGGGGGGGACACCCCGCAGCCCCCTCTGCCCCGGGCTGCTGCAGCCGCCTCAGCCCCCCACAGCCCGCGGGGGGCTCGGGGGGCAGGAGAGCAGGGTGCTTGTGGCAGAACCCCGACAGCTGCTGTCCCTCCGCGCTGCCAGGTCACCCGGCGGCGACACTGCCACTGCTCGGGGCTGTGGTGGCTCTGCCAGCCCCTCTGAGACCCCCCAGCACAAAGCCCCTGTTGTCACCCCCTCCCCGTGTCCCTGAGGGACAGCTCTGGGTGCCACTGGCCAAGCTGGACCTGGGGTCACCCTAACGCTGGGGGTGCCTCTTGCTGTCCCCACTGTCATGCCCAGCGCAGGCCTGGGAAAAGGGGGGAGCCGGGGTAGAAAAGCAGAAATAGCCCCAATTTTGGGGCTCCTTTCCTCCTACCTCCCCCCGGCGGGAACAGCTCTGAGCTGGTTCCTGCCACCCACACCCCTCCTGCCCCGTCCTGGGGGAGCTGATGAGGCACAGAGGGCGCAGCCTGCCCCAAACAGGGTCCGGGCACGGGGGTCTGCCTTGTCCTCGCTGCGGTGGCACCAGGCGGGGTCGGTGCTTGTCCCCCTCCCCGGAAAAGGGACCGAGGGAAACGGTGCCGCCCATAGGCTGGGGGATAGGAATATCTGGGTTTTCCCTCCCTCTGCTGAGAGCTGGGACTGCCTCCGATGAGGGGCGACCCTCTCGATGTCCATCCCACGGTGAGGGTCCCCGTGTCCCCCCAAACCCGGGCAGCGGCAGCCCGACCCCTCTCCCCGCCAGGCCGCAGAGCTTTGCCGGCCGGCACGCAGGGGGTTAAAGCCTCCCCGTCTCCCTCACACTTGAGACGTCACCGTCACCGGTGGCGTGGGGGGGCCGGGGGGCTATGGTGGTCTTTGTGGAGCGCTCGGCAGCCGGCGCAGCTCACGCACACGGCGGGCGCCTCGTCCCCGCAGCGCCCGCGCCCCGCCGGCCGCCATGGGGGGTGGGCGATGGGGGGTGGGCTCAGCCCCTCCTGGCGCTGCTGCAGCCCCGCGCCGGCCCCGGGTGGGTGCGGGCTCTCGGGTGGGTGCTGCGGCTCGGCTCGCGGCAGCCCTGCGGTAAATCCGCTGCTCAGCCGCAGCCGGGAGCGGGGAGCCCCCTGCAGCCCCCCCGCCCCCGGGCACACTGGAGGGGGGCTCAGCCCCACGGGGGGCTCGCAAGCCCCTCCGGGCAGAGAAATGCCCGGAGCGGGGGGGTCACGGCGCCGAGGAGCCGCAGCTCCGCCCTGCTCAGGGCTGGGGTGCCCCGGCTGATCGCGGGGTGGGCTCTGGCCCCGGCACCCCGATTCCCGGGATGAGCTGTGCCCCCCGCGGAAAATCCTCCAGGCACGGCTCGCCCGCCCCTGCGGCGGCTGCGGCGGGGCCGTGGGCGGGGGGCAGCGGCCGGGGGGGCTGCAAGGGGAAGGGGCAGGCAGCCCCCGGCCGGGGCTGCGGCGCTGCACCAGGCTGCGGTGCCCAGGGCGATGCCGCGCCGGCAGCAAAGGGGCGCAGCCCCAAAACGGTGACACGGGGCGGCCTGAGCCCGGGGGCATCGCTGCCGGCTCGGGATGCTCCTGGATGCAGGATTTGGCCCTGCCCGCAGCAGGAGAGGGGGCTCACCCCATGGGCTGGGCTGTCCCCACGGAGGTGACAGCCGCCGTGGGTGCCCGTGGGGCAGGAGGCTCGTGGGGAGCAGGGGAGGCGGCGCTGCGGGAAGGGGGAGCAGGGCTGGGGTGCAACGAGGCCGCCGCAGGGAGGGACAGAAGCCGGGGCCGCCTCGGGTGTGGCTGGGGACAGGGAGGCGGCTGTTCCCAGCCCTCCTGTGGCAGCGCCTTCCCCCGTGAGCGCTGCCGGTTTGGGGGTGACTCTCCCAGCGGATTTGGGGCTCGGTTCAGCAGCGGGCAGCCTGCACTGGGGGGAGCCCCTCGCCCTCCCCCGCAGCCCCCCTGGGAGGGATGTGCCGTGGCCCCCCGGGCCGAGTGCCACTGGGGGGTTGAAGCGCCTGAGACCGAGGAAAAGGGGTAAAACAGGGGCTGAAGCCCAAGCAGAGCCCCCCTCACCCCTGCCCAAGGGGCTGCAGCAATCCCCAAACCAGCCCCTGGCACCAAACCCCTGCACCACGGCTCTGGAGTCACCCCGGGGTGTCCTCACACTGGGGACCCCTCCGTGCCCCTTCCCTGGGCACCGGCAGAGCTCAGCAGTGACAAATGCCAGCCCCAAGCTGCCCGTCAAGGACAAAGGTGGCACGGGCAGGAGGACGCCCGCACGCCAGTCACAGCCTGTGTGCCAGAGCCAGAGCAGGGCAGGTGCCAGTCTGCCACCCCACCGACTGCCCTGGCACCCCAGGGACCCCCCGGCACACCAGGGACCCCTTCCCAGGATGCCAGGGACCCCCCAGCACCCTTTAGAAACACCCCAGAGCTCAGCAGGATGAGCCTCGGGGTCACTGCACCCGAGCAGCTCTGGGTGTGTTTGGTGTACCCCAGTTACCCCAAAAACCAGCTGCATTCAGGCTTGTGCAGCCCTGGTGCAAAGCCACCCCTCCGTGGCCCTGGGAGGAGGAGGAGGAGGAGGAGGAAGGCAGAGCCATCGCTGTTGATGCCAAGGGTCTGGGCTGGGGGGGCACAGCCCCATTCCAGGCACGAGACCACCCCATCCCTCCCCTGCTGCTCCAGCTCTCCCTCTCCCCTTCCCCAGCCTCATTAATTAAACCCAAGCGCTTAATTACAACCTGCTGAGCCCCGCGGCTGCTTCCCGGTGCCTGCTGACAGCGGGGGGCCAATCCCGACCCCCCCACATCCCTGTAGGATGCAGGGAACTGGGGGAGCACCCGGCTGCCTGCAGGATTTGGGTTGTGCCTCACGGGCGGCGTGAAGGGATCTTCACAGAGCGCTCAGGGAAGGGCAACCCCAGCCACTGGAGCTGGCAAAGCCATCCCTGGGGATCTCGGCCCCTCCGAGGAGGGATGGGGACATTTGGCTCCGCTCTGGGGTTGTCCCCGAGCTGCTGGCAGGTGCCACAAGGGGTGAAGAGGGACGGGGATGCTCTGCCCGGTGGCAGTGAAAAATAACCAAGGTAAATGAGATGGAGGGGAGAGCCAGTGTCCCACCGTGCTTCCCCTCCTGGTCACCCACCCAGGGGTCCCCAGAGGGTGCCCTGACCCTCCTGCCCTCCTGCCCACAGGTCCCTGCCAGCCCATGCAGTGACGCAGGCGGGTGGCACAGCCCCTGCTCCTGCCATAGCCACTGCTGCCACCCCAGGCACTGAGGTAAGGACCAAGGGCACGGCTGTGGGGTGGGTGGGATGCCCTGGCACAGGCACCAGGCCCCCAGACCGGGTCTGGGGGGTGTAATTCCCATGGGGGTCTTCCCCTGTCCACGGGAATGCCGGCCTCATAACCCAGGGGAGTGGCATGGCACCAGGGGGGTCACCTGGGGCTGCCCCCATCCCTTGGGCATGCCAGGGCTGGGGAACTGGGGTGTCTCAGGGGTGGCAGCATGGCCAGGGGTGCCCCAGGAGCACAAGGGGACACCTCTTGAAGTGCTGGGGGAGCTGTCACATTCCAGGGGATGCTCACGGCTGCGTGCCCAGCCAGGAGGGATCGGGGTGGGCACAGGGAGGTGCCAGGGTGGTGGTTTTGAGGGCTCGGGGGTGCCAGGGTGGTGGCCCTTAGGGGCTCAGGGGTGCCAGGGTGGTGGCCCTTGGGGGCTCGGGGGTCCTGTTGTGGTGGCCCCTGGGGGCTCGGGGGTGCCAGGGTGTCTGGCTGGTGGCACCGGTGCTGTTCCACTCTGTTCTGTTTCTCTCGCTCAGGTCTGCTGGCCATGGGCAACCTGATAAAGGTATTGGGCAAAGATTTAGAAAACTGTCCTCATTTTTTCCTGGATTTTGAAAGTAAGTCCCATGAGCAGGGTGGGCATGGGGAGGGCGCCAGGGCTGCCACCGCAGCTGCTGTCCAGAGGATGGGGACAGGCACAGTGTCCCCGAGCAGCCCCGTGTCCCCAGGTGCTTTGGGGCCCTGCAGAAGTCACCAAAATGGGGCAGGGGAACAGAAGCCCAGGAGATGCCCCGTCCCTCAGAGGGGGGCAGGTGTCCTGGCGGAGCGGTGGGATGCAGGACGCAGCAGGACCTGGCCCGGGACCACCCCAGGCACACCCCGCTGCTGTCAGCTGGTGGCCCTGGTGGCCGTGTGGCGTGTCCCGTGACGCCGCCAGGACAGGGACAGCCTGCGGGCTGGGAAAGGAGGCGGGAGCCATCCGTGCCACCTGCGCTGCTGGGAAGGTCAGTGCGGCCGCTGCAGCCTGCGCCGAGGGATGGGGAGCAGGGACCTGCCTCAGTTTCCCCTGGATCGGGGCTAACGGCCAGGAAAGGACAGCTCTCGGCCCCCCAGGCTGCACACGGGGGGCACAGGACACGGTGGCCGCTGTGGCAGGATGCCAGGCCGGGCACAGCCCCGGGGCTCCCCTGGCTCCCTCTCCTGCAATTCCTCCCAGGGCACAGCTCAGAGCAGGAGTGGGGAGGGTGAAAAGAGTGCAGTGGCCTCTGCTCGCCCCAGCCCCGGCTCCATGCCCAGCGGGCACAGCTCCCCACGCCACCTCTGACTCCGGCACTCCCCAAAACACCCAGGGCTGGGGTCGCACAGCCCCCCACTCCCACGGCGAGGAACCTCCCTGCTCCTCCTGGCTCCGCTGAGGCAGCACAAATTCTCCTGCCTCCAGCCCCCTCCACAGCTCTGGGGGCTCCCCAGCACCCCTCGTTTCGGGGCTGGCTCCAGAGCAGGGGTTTGGCTGCAGCCAGCACTCCGGGCACTTCAGGGATTTCCCGGCGGCTTCTCCTCCCTTCGCTCCTCCCTCTCCATCACCGCATCGCCAGCGCTCATCACCATCGGGGGGGAAGAGGCTGCAGCCGGGGTCACCCCCGGAGCCCCCCGAGCCCCCGGGGAGCAGCGGGAGGAGCACCCCCGCAGCCCAGCACCTCTTCCCCGGGCTCCACCTCACCATCATGCTTTTTTCCTCTTGTTTCTTCTCTTGCAGGTTTCACATGGGGAACCTTCTAAAAGTGTTGACTTATAACGAACTTGACCAAGGCCCTAATTTTTTCCTTGACTTTGAAAGTGAGATGGGATTTTTATTTTCCGTTTTCGTTCCGTACTTATCCTGAGTTCCACATCCACACCATTTTGAGTTCTCTGTCCCCGTCGCCCATCGCATCGCGCCCATCCCAGACGCCCTCCCCCAAACCTGTGCCATCCGGGGGCGTCCCCGGGGAGGGGGGCCAGGCCCGTGGCCGGGGGCTGTCGCTCCTCACCTCTCCCCCCGGGGCACTTTGCAGCCTCTCGGGGCCGGGGGCTGCTCGGGGGCCCCTGGCGGTGAGCAGGACCGCGGGCACAGGGCAGCCAGGACTCACCCCCGCCCGCCCCCCGCTCCACGGCGTGACCCGGGCAAGGAGAACGGAGCAGGGGCACAATCCTGCCAGGAAGGGCTGCGAGCCGTGCCTTGGGGTGCTGGCACCCCGCTGGGGCTCCGGCCGGCGCGGGCCCCGCTCAGAGCCCTCCGGGTTTCTCTCCCCGGGGCGCTGCCCTGCAGATGCGCAGCCCACGGAGGCCGAGACGGCGGTGTGGAACCAGGTGAACGCCGTGCTGGAGGAGGCGCACGCCGTCCTGGCCGAGCTGCAGTCCTACACGGGAGCCGGGCAGGAGATCCGAGAGGTGGGAGCAGCCCCGGAGCCCCCTGCCCGCGCTCCCTCCGCGGCTCGGGGCGAGCGCTGCCGCTGTGCCCTCCCCAGGCCATCCAGAACCCCGGGGACCTGCGGCTGCAGGAGCGCGCCTGGAGCGCCGTGTGCCCCCTGGTCGCCAAGCTGAAACGCTTCTACGAGTTCTCCCTGCGGCTGGGTGAGTGCCCGAGCTCCCCCCGTGCACCCCGCATCCTCCCGGAGGCGGCGGGGCTCCTGCCCGTGCAGCGTGCGCTCAGCTGGGGATGCTGCGCCGTGCCTCAGTTTCCCCTCGGGGGTGTGGAGGTGCAGAGGGGGACCGGGCGTGCTCTGTCCGCAGAGAACGCCCTGCGGAGCCTGCTGGAGGCCCTCACCAGCCCCCCCTACGCCCCGACCCAGCACCTGGAGCGGGAGCAAGCCCTGGCCAAGCAGTTCGCCGAGATCCTGCACTTCACCCTCAGCTTCGACGAGCTCAAGGTGCCTCCCTGAGCGGGGTGACAGCCGGGGGGTCCCCACACCGGCACCCTGAGAGCCGGCAGAGTCCCTGGGGACCCCTAACCCTGGTGTCCCCCCCTCAGATGACCAACCCTGCCATCCAGAACGACTTCAGCTACTACAGACGGACCATCAGCCGGAATCGCATCAACAACCTGCAGGTGGGGGGGCTCTGCTGCTCCCCCGGCCAGGGGGGGCCTCCCCGGGGGTCCTCAGGGCTGGGGAGGGCTTGGAGGGGCTCAGCCGCCCCGGCGACCCCCGTGTCACCCCCCCAGCTGGACGCAGAGAGCGAGGTGAACAACGAGATGGCCAACAGGATGTCCCTGTTCTACGCCGAGGCCACCCCCATGCTGAAAACCCTCAGCAACGCCACCACCAAGTTCGTGTCAGAGGTGAGGGGGGCCGGGGGCACCCTCAGGGTGGGCACAACCCCCCTCCAGCCACCACACAGGGGGGAAACAGCAGCTGGGACCTGTTGGGTTTCAGAACAAGACCCTCCCGATCGAGGACACCACCGACTGCCTGAGCACCATGGCCTGCGTGTGCAGGGTGATGCTGGAGACCCCGTGAGTGCCCCACTTCGGGCTCTGGGGGGGACATCTCGGCCCTGGGGTCCCCCTGCCACCCCTGCCCGGGCTCAGGCAGCCTCTGTCCTGGCTCAGGGAGTACCGGAGCCGCTTCACCAACACCGAGACCCTGCTCTTCTGCATGAGGGTGATGGTGGGCGTCATCATCCTCTACGACCACGTGCACCCCGTGGGGGCCTTCGCCAAGACCTCCAAGATCGACGTGAGTGCTCTTGGGGTGCCAGCTGCGGGGTGCCAGCCACGCCACAGCTGCTGTGACCCCTGGGCTCCCTGTCCCTGGCTTGAGGATGGGGAGGGGGATGCCAGGGGTCTCACAGCCCCTCCCTGTGCCCCCATCAGATGAAAGGCTGCATTAAGGTGCTGAAAGACCAACCCTCAACCAGCACCGAGGGGCTCCTGAACGCTCTGAGGTGAGGGGGGGCTCGGGGGCGCAGCCGTGGGGGTGGCAGCAGAGCGGGGGGCTGTGAGCCGTGTCCCCTCCCTGGCCAGGTACACCACTCGGCACCTGAACGACGACAGCACGTCCAAACAGATCCGGGCCCTGCTGCAGTGAGCGCGGGGCGGCCGCCGAGCCACCACCACCATCCAGCTCATCTTGTACAGAGGGAAAAGGGACGGCGAGGAAGGCGCAGAAAAACCCAGAACAAACCCCAACGGCCCGGGCTGCCCTCCCCCACCACGTGCTCCTGCCCCCTCCCCCCTTCCCACCCCCAAATCAGCTCCTGGACACGAGGGGGGGGTGGCACCCTGGGGACACCAGGGGTGTCTGGGGGGCCAGGGCCAGGCAGGACAGACCCGGGCAAGGAAGTGCTGGTGGGGCTGGCAGCACGGGGGCACCTTGGGGAGGGGGCAGGTGGTGCCCCTGTCCCCATCCTGGTCCCCAGGAGGAGGAGGGAGAGGATGAGGAGGAGGAGGAGGAGGAAGAAGTATCCCTGTGGATCTGCACTGACTCTGGAGGAAACGGCTCAGTCTCACCTGGTAGATTTTTAATATGAGCAATTAAATCCACACTCACCTCTTCTTTTCTACATTTTTTTTTTTGGGTGTGAAATAAAATGACATTTAATCTGTTCGTGTGGCCGGAGCGGGGCTGTCTCTGCTGTGTCCCACCCCACGGACCGTGCCACCCTGCGGGACAAACGCCACCTCCCACGGGGACCAGGAGGGACAGCAGCCCCGGCGCCCCCCGAGGCAGCCCAGCCTACCCTCCTCCTTCCCCGGTGCTGCTGCAGACCGGGAGCACCGGGGCGGCTGCTGGGGCCGCTCCCGGCTGCCCGGCCGGTGGCTCTGCCGGCAGATGGCCCTGTGACACCGCGGCCACCCCGCGACAGCGCGGCCACGCCGGCCGCACCCGTGCCCAGCCAGCCCTGGGGGCACCCACTCCGCCTCGCACCCCCGGGCTGGGCGAGACCCCCGCGGGGCAGGACCCCGTGCCAGCCCCTGGGCTGTGTCACCCCCAGGGGACCCTCAGGGTGGCTCAGGGCCGCGTCCCCGGGGTTTGGTGTCCTGCCAGCCCGCTCCTTCCCGCCGGGCACGCGGCAGCTGCGGGCACCGGGACCCCCCCCGTGCCCTGCCCGTCCGGGGGGGTGACAACGGGCACCCCACGGGTGGCACCACACACCCAGAGCCTCGTGCCAGGCGGCTCTGGCAGGCTGTGCCTCAGTTTCCCCGCTGCCCCCTGGGTGTGCTGGGGGCACAAGGGCACGGTCCCCACAGCTCCCCGAGATGGGATTCCTCAGGGTGCCACCCCGGGGACACCCATCTCACCCCAGGGGCACCCATCTCACCCCCCTGCAGCCCCCAAACCTCCACGGACCCCCTCCCCAGACCCAGGACTGCCCAGAGGGGACAGAGAGAGGGGGACATTTCCCAGGTCTGGTGCCAGGACAGCCCCCAGCCCTCTGGATCCTGGCATTTCCTGGGCCCTGTGCCAGGACAGCCCCCAGCCCTTGGGACCCTGGCATTTCCCGGGCCCTGTGCCAGGACAGCCCCCAGGCCTCTGGACCCTGGCATTTCCCGGGCCCTGTGCCAGGGTCCTGCCAGGTTTTTGCCGCCGAACGCGCCGAAGTCCCGCGCGGGGCGGGTCGGGGACACGCTCTTGCACAACCCCGGCCAACAGCTCCTTTTATTTTTAGGCTCTTGCAACATTTGGCTTCGCCACAGCCAGCTGAAATGCTGCCAAGGCATCGGATGGGCCACGGGCTCCCGAGCCGCTCCGCGCCCCAGCCGTGCCTCAGTTTCCCCGTGAGCTCCTTGGAGCCGCTGGCCCTGTGGTGGCAGCGGTGCCAGCCAGCCCTGCCGAGCCCAAAGGGACCCCGAGGGCCCGTGGGATCCCCCCGGGGCTGCACAGCACGAGGAGCCCACCTGGGAGCTGAGGACGGGGCTAGGACACGGCTCGGGGCGGCTGCAGGAGCTGCTGTCCCCAAGTGACACCGGCCCCCAGACGGTGCCTGGCCCGTCCCAGGAGGGTCCCTGCAGTGTGGGAACGGGGCTGGGAGGAGGCAGGACAGCGTCACCAGCCCTCCCCACCAGGAGTCAAGGGACAGGCGGGTCCTTTAAAGCCACCAGCGAGCGCGGGCACAGACACCAGCTGGTCACCGTGCTGGGAGAGGTGGCAGCTGTGTCCCAGTGCCCGTCAGGTCCTGGCACAGAGCCCACAGCATCCCCCCTGCGGTGCCCCTCGCTTGCGAGGGGAGGGATGAGGCCAAATTGGTGCCACATCCCAGCTCTGACTGTCCCCAGAGTGGCACTTTTCAGGGCAGAGCAGGTGGCACGTGCCACCCTGGCAAAGGGCAGCACTGCACGGACGAGACCTTTCCTGTGGGAGCATTTCAGACCCAAAACCGGGTGGGAAAAGGGAACCAAAAGGGATGTACAACTCTCTGATCATCAGACACATCCGAGCCCAGAGCCCTGGGGACGGTGCCACCCATGTGGGCAGCAGTCAGGGCTGGAGCCCTGGCAGGGGCTGCTGCAGGCAGCACACAGCAGATGCAGAGCACGAGGTGCTGCCCGTGCACCCCTCGCTGCTGGACACGAGGATTTGGGCTGCCACAGAGCCAGGGGCACCCCTGGATGTGCCCCTGGTCCCCTGGATGTGCCCCTGGTCCCCCTGGATCTGCCCCTGGTTGCCTGGATGTGCCCCTGGTCCCCTTGGTGTGCCCCTGGTCCCCCTGGATCTGCCCCTGGTCCCCCTGGATGTGCCCCTGCTCCCCCTGGATGTGCCCCTGGTCCCCCTGGATCTGCCCCTGGTTGCCTGGATGTGCCCCTGGTCCCCTTGGTGTGCCCCTGGTCCCCCTGGATCTGCCCCTGGTTGCCCGGATGTGCCCCTGGTCCCCCTGGCACCCAAGCCAGGGCACTGCCCGGGGACAGGCAGTGCCACCAGGATGGTGCCCGGTCAGCAAGGACACGCAGCTGCTGGTGTGCCCCTGGTCCCCCTGGCACCCAGCCCTGCAGCAGCCTGGGGCAGCAGCACACCAGCACCGTGTCCCAAAGGCAGTGCCCAAGCCAGGGCACTGCCCGGGGACAGGCAGTGCCACCAGGATGGTGCCCGGTCAGCAAGGACACGCAGCTGCCCCAGCTCAGGCTCTGGGCTCCGTGCTCAGCCAGGCCAGGGTGCCCAGGACTTTAACTGATGGCGAGCCAAGCCACGCCGGGCCTGTTTTCTAATCCCAGAGTAATTAATGACCTTATCTTTGGCCAAAGCCATTTAGATTAAGTGGCTGGTGTGATGGGCTCGGCGGCTCCGGCTGCACAGATGGAAGAGCCGCGTTTGTCTGGGGATTAGAGGAGGGCAGATGGAGAGAAGTGCCATTCCCCATCCCCAAAGCTCCGGGCACTGACAGCAGCCTGAAACCTGAGACCACAACAACTTTCTCAGCGAGCCCTGGCTGGGCCTGGCGAGCGATTCCTTCGTTCTTTGTCCCTCCTGCAGGGCCCAGAGCAGCGGGAGCTGCTGCCAGCACCAGGAACTGGTGTGACCCTGCCAGGAGCTCGATGCCAGTCCCTGCCTGGAGACCTTCAAACAGCAGAGGAACACTGCACCCAGAGTGACCTGCCTTGGAGAGCAGCCCTTGTCAGGAATGCTGCCCTGCCTCTGCTCAAATAAACTGATCTCAACCCAGCTCTCCGAGGAGAAAACCCACCTGAATCCTGTGCTGGCAGGATCAGGGCACGTGTCCTCCCTCCACTCATGGACAAGGAAGTGTGGCACACCCTGTTCACCTGGAACTCCTGGGAACCAAAGGCCTGGGAGCCCCTGGCCCCCCTGCTCAGCACAGCCCATCCCAAAGACGCTCCTGAAGAGAACAGGCTGCTGTGGAAGAGGAATAACATGAATCCGTGGGGATAACAAAGTTCATATTAAACCGATTAAGGATATTTAATCCACCTCTGACAGTATGGACAGCTGACTGCACTCAGGAGCAGATAATCCCAGCCCTCCTTGCCAGTGCTGCCCCAGTGATCCCAGCCTGGCCTGGGGAGATGACTCAACATCCCAGAGCTGTCTGTCACAGCACACGGGGCTTCACTCCCAGCCCACACTGCAGGCTGGAGAACACAATTCCATGCCACGACCCCGTGGCCATGTGTTCCAGCACCGGGCTGAGCCCACATCCATGGGCTGAGTCAGCATGGACGGCAAACAAGTCTGGGCTGGAGCAGAGGCTCAGCTGGCACCGCACAGACCCAGCAACAGCGCAGTGCCCAGCATTCCAAGGCTGGTGCCCAGCTCTGCCCAGTGCCAAATTCCCAGCTCTTCCCTGCCCACGAGCACCCAGAGCCCATCACAGAGCCCGAGGCAGCCGTCCCACGGGGCACTACAGCAATAATTCCATGCTGAGGAACACAAACTGGAGGTTTAATCTAATCCCCACCAAAGCAGGAATCTCCAGAGCCCGCGCCGGCAAATCCACCCACGCAGCTCTTCCCTGGCAGGATGAGCCCTGGCTCTTGCCACACGGCACAGCACAAGGAAAAGCTTGTGCTCCACCAACCCTCAAACCCTCCTAGCTCTGAATTTGCCAGGAGAATCCCAAAGGCTGTCCTGGCTTCACCAGAGCAGGATTCCAGGCACAAATGGCACCCACATCCTCCAGGAACAACAATGGGACACCAACTGCCTGGGGGACACAGCTCCAGGAATTTGCTGCTCAGTAGCTTGGATTCAAATTCGGGGCTGGTTCCCAGTGCCAAACCACAGAGTAAACCCCCGGGAATTCTGCCTTAACTAGGACAGGCTCATCTGTTGCAAACTCGATGAGATCATTTCCAAGTTCCTGTTTAACAGGTGCCAGCTCCCCCTGCACCTGCTGTGTGCACAGGGCTCCCTGCCCCCACCAGGCTGGGAACATCTGCTCAGCTCCCTCAGGAGCTGTGGAAAAGGGGACTGGGAGCAGGAACCAGATCTCCTGCCCTGTGCCCAGAGCCAGGCAGAATCAGAGAGCAAGGAAACCGCGCTTGTTAACAGGGAGGGGAACCCACAATAATCCTGCGACTTTATTTGCATGTAAAAGAAGACCAAAAAAAAAATCCTCTCCACAATAAAGGCAGGCAGAGCTCGCTCAGCTCTGGAGCTGCACCCCCGGCCAAGCTGGAGGAGCCGGGGTATTTCTGTATTTGTCTCTGAGATCCACACAAGCACATACCAGCAGCTCAGCCATTCCAAGGATGCAGCTCTGGCAGGAATTCACGCTTTGCATGGGAGGAGGCTCCCAGCAGCCTTGCCCCGGGGCCCAGCCCGTTCCAGGCAGGGCTGGGGGAGCATGGGAACACAGCGGGATGAGGCCACATGAAGAGGATCCGACGGCCTCTGCAGTCACACACCTGCCTCACCCCAAAAAAAAATGACTCAGCTCCTTGCTTCAAGGCTGCCCAGGACCAAGGAGCTTCCTCTCCACGCAGGTGGATGCACAGCTGCTGCCCCTTCCAGGCCTAAGGCAAAGGCAGGCTGCCATCCTCATCCGAGGTCTCTGTGTCCCCACTGCCCCCCATGGTCCTTCTGGCGTGCTTGGACTCCTCCAGCTTCCTCCTCTTCTTCAGGTGGTGCAGGTGGGATTTGGACCGTGTGTGAGCTGGAGGAAGAGGCAGACAGAGCCTTTCATCTGTGGAATTTGGAGGAGGAAACAGCCAACCCCCCCACGCAGGGCAGAGCACCCTCCCTTCCCAGCACAATTCACTCCCAGAGAAAAGAGAACTCCCAAACCCTGCCCTGGCTGCTCCTCTGGACACTTCCAGGCCAAACCATCAGGGCTCAGAAGAGGACAAAGCTCCCAAACTTCCTCAGGAAGAACTGACAGAGGGAAAAATCCTGGTTCTGTGTAAGGAGAAGACTCCAGGCTGTCACTGCCAGCCTCTCCAGGGAAGAGGGAGTGTGTTTCCCAAGAGGTGGCACTTTGCAGGCTCAGGTGAGCTTGTGCAACTCCCTGCTCCCCGTGGAGAGCTGCCAGGACCATTTGTAGGGCTGGATCCCTGCACCACAGCACTGGGAAGATCCTGTGCATCCTACAGAGCAGCCAGGGAAAAGCCTGGAGCAGAATTAAACTTCTGAATAACTCCAGGGCCCAGCCATGAAAGCTCTGCAGCAGGAGTCAGCTGGGAACAGAGGGGTAATCCCAGGGATTCAGCTTGGAGCAGCAGGAGCTGCATTTCTGGGAGAAATCACATCCTTAAGGACAGCCAAACCTCCTTAGCAGCGGTTTTATCTCAGGGGAGGCTTTGTCTGACCATCTTGGTCGGGTGGTTTTGCCTTTTCCAAGAGATCAGAGCAGCAATTAAAGCACAAACTTTTCAAGCAGGGCCTTAATTAAACGAGGGTATGTGCTCTGCTGAATCAAGGCCCTCAGGTGTTTTCCAGCCATTCCTTTTTCTGCCAAAGGATGAAATCACATGCAAAGCTGCTGCTTTATCACAATGCTGGAGGGTCACCCTCGCCCTGAGATAAAGCCTCACCTCCTGCAATTTGTCACAAGCAACACCAAAGCTACAGTGGCTGAGGAAGTGCCAATTGCTGCTGCTGTCTGGGCAGTTGTGCTCTTGAAGTCCATAGAAATTGTAAAATCAGACACAAATTCAAAATCTCCCAGAGCCAGCAGGGTGCTGGGAAGCAGTTCCCAAAACTCTGTCACCTGACCTAAGCAAACAGACCAGAGTGCAGATCCAGCCAGTTCCCACCACTGTTTGCACCTTCCTTTTTTCCATTTTGCAGGCACAAGGAACAGCCAGGCTTTGGAGCATTTTTCTCCCACCATCTGTGGATCTGAGCCCAGTTCAGCTGGACACAGAGAGTAACAGCTGGTCTTGGCTGAGGGAGGCACTGCCACCATCAACTGGTATCTGGGGTGACATCCCTAAGGACATGGAGGGATTTGGGGGGGCCTCAAGGAGCTCCCACTCAGGCACAGAACTTTCTGGACCTAAAGGATGACAGGGACCCGAGAGTTTTTAGTTCTGGACAAACAGAGCTCCTTCAAAGCACCTCTGAGACAGCTGAGACTAGACAAAAATAACAACTGCACTTCACTGATCTCACTGCAAGGAGCCTCCCCCAAAGAGCAGCTCCAGCCTTTGCTTTCAGCACTTCCCTGCCTCAGCCAGGAATAAGCAACTCCTTCCAACCCAACAACCTGGGAAATTTATCTTTGGTTGTGTCTCATCTGCTTGTTTGGGCTGGGGCAGAGCTGATTTCCCTCTCAGCAGCTGCTCTGGGGCTGTGTTTGGATTCGTGCTGAGCACGGGGCTGATAACTCGGGGATGTTTTGTTATTGCTGGGAGCTCTGGAACTGACTCAAGGCCTTTTCTGCTCCTCAAGCCACACAGACAGGGCTGGGGGTGCAGGGGGGGTTGGAGGGGGCACAGCTGGGAGAGCTGACCCCAGCTCACCCCAGGCCATGAGCTCGTGCTGCCAGGGGGGAAGGAAAGGGGGGACATGGGGACGATGGCATTTGTCTTCCCAAAGCCATGTCAGATGTGATGGAGCCCAGTTTTCCTGGGGATGGCTGAGCATCTGCCCAACCATGGCAAGCAGTGAATTAATTCTTAGTTTTGCTTTGCTTCCTCTATTAAACTTTAACTCAACCCACAATTTTTCTCACTTTTACCCTTGCAATTCTCTCTCCCAGAGACACAGAGTGGGGGAGTGGCTGTGTGGGGCTCAGATGCTGGGGTTAAACCATGACCCTGCACATCCTGTATTTGGGCAACACATGGAGATTTACCAGTTTCATTTCTGCAGCCAGTTTCTCCATGACTTTTTGTTTCTGGTTCTCAGCATGAGCCTCCCAGCACAGATAAATTCACTGACTTAATCTGATTCCAGCTGAGCTCTTTTAAAGTAAGTCTATGGAAAACAGAAAATCCCTTTCTATTACTATTACAGCTAGGAATAGTTTAAAAAGGACAAAAGAAAAAAAAAAACAAACCACACACACAAGTAGGAAATACTAGAGCAAAACTGAGCTATTAGAAACATTAAGAAACTTTCATTTACACAACAGAACTTTAGAGGAGAGAGATTTGCTCTGTGCTTTTTGAGGAAGCATCCACAGTGTTGTGAAGGACCAGGAGCCCTGACTAAACACAGCAGCTCTGAGCTTGGTGCCACATCCAGACCCCTGGCGTGATGCTCTCTGTGTTTTCAGGGTGCTGGGAAGGGGGAAAGCCCAGGCAAGGGGGGAAATGCTGACAGATGGTTCCTGTGGCACACAGCTCCAGCAAACAACCCTTGAAAGGCCAGGACCATGAGCTGGGGGTCATCCGGCCACAGGGGAGCTGCTCCACCACCCCAGAGAAGCCCAGGCCCCCCAGGTGCCCTGCTGTGCCCCGTGTGGGCCCTACCTGCCCACTCCCTGTCCCCGAGGATGAGCCTGTCACAGAGCTGGCACACGCGACGGCTCCGCTTGTTCTCCTGCCCGTCCTGCTCCATCCTCAGGGGCTCAGCCGGGGGCTCACGGCCCTGCACACCAAACAATGCCTCAGCCTGGGCTCTGCCTGTGCTCACCTCCGTGGGGTGGGATGGCAGCTTGCCAGACTCAGACACGAGCTGGCAAGGTAGACAGTGCAGTTTTATCAATGCAGCGTTGGGTACTGGGGAGAATGTGCAGCTGAGACAACAAATCTGCTGCTGCAAGGAAATGCCAAGGTTGGGCATGTGAACAGCCAGCCCTGCTCCAGGGGCAGACTGTGTGAAGGCGAGGGGCCTGCAGAGCACAGAGAAGGCAGACAAAGCCCAGCTGGCCAGTACCTGGATGAAGCTCTCCACGATCTCCAGGGCAGGTTTCAGCACATCCTCCTCCCACCTCTGCAGATCAGACACCTCCAAGCCATAAACTGGGGGCACGTTGGGCCCAGGACCTACAGAAACACATCGAGGCAGGTCAGCACCAGAAACCCTGAGAATCCCCTCCCAGAGCCCAGGGGGAGCAGAGGGATCTGCTTTTTCCTATCAGCATTCAGAAGCCAACAATACCAGGCTCTCCAGAGCCAAAATTCCCTCCTGCAAGCAGCAGGAAAACCTCAGGACATCTTCACAGCTGGCTGCCCTTGGGAGAGTGCTCTGGAATCTGAGTGTGCCAACAGCCCACCACAACAAGAAGCACCTCAGCCCAGCCCTGGTGCACAGGGGGCTGGGAGGTGAAGGAGCTGGATCCAGGCACAAAGCCACCACAGCAGGCTTACAGGGAGATGCAGGCAAGGAGCCTGGATGAAGGATCTGAGCGTGCAGATTCCACTCAGAGCTGGAACTGATTGTGCAGGGGCTGATGCTCCTGGCTCCTGGCAGGAGGTGCTTTACAAATGACAAGGGACAGGTTCACAGCCACCCCTCTGGTCTCCCCGGGCCCAATGCCAGGGCACAGGGCACTTGCTGCAGCCTGGACAGGGTGAAGCAGCTGCCAGCACAGAGCACCTGCTCCCTGGGTGACCTGGCTGCTCTCCACGGGCACCTGGCTGTCCCTGCCTGGACAAAGCCATCAAAGGCTGCACGTGCCAGTCCCCAGCAGGTGCTGGTTTTATTGCTGTGCTCACAAACAAGCCCCTGACAGGCCCATCTGAAGCACACCTGCCACCAGAAAGGTGAGCTCAGCTACCCAGCACACAGCTCTGCCAAAACTCCTGCTCCTCCTTCAAAGTCCATCTTTTTCTTTGACTCGAGTTTCTCCCTGCCTTCTCTTTATTTCTTTTTTTCATTATTATTATTTATTTTATTGTTGTTTTGCCCCTACTGAGCACCTTTCAACAAGTGCCCGGCTCCCAGCTGCTGCTGCTGGCCCTGCTCCAAGGCTGGGGCTGGGATGGGGAAGTCCTGCTGGCTCCCTGCCACTGCACAGAGCACGGCCTGGCCTGCAGCAGCCACGGGGCTGCTGCTCCTCATCTGGAGGGCAGCTGTCAAGTGGGCTTTGCTCCCTGCCAGGAGCATGTGTGGGTGCGTGGGGACCCCCTCCCTGAGCCCCCCAGGAGCATTTGGCAGGATGGGCTGCAGGGATGTTGTGACCATCATCATCATCTAATGGTGCCTGACACAGGGCCGAGCCTCTGGTTGGGATTTATCCCTCCTGATGGCTGGGAGGGGATGGGGTACACGGGTACAGGAGGAGGAGCTGGCTCTTGAGTGTCTGGGATGAGAAACTGTGGGCAGGACACTTCTCAGGAGGGGCAGGAGATCTGCTCTACAACCCAAACCAGCAGGAAGGAACTGGGGGAGGCAGAGCTTTGTGGGTGGATGGGGACACTGGGAGGCCCCAGACTCCCAAACACAGGCTGCCCCTGGTGCCCCCAAAGCACCAGAGTCCCCTGTGGGGCTGGAGGGGGGCACGAGGAGAGCTGGGCAGAGGACTCACGTTTCAGGAAGCGGTTCCGCACCCATTTGTTCTGCCTCCGGGCGTATCTCTTGGTCACCTGCTTGAGGGCCTGGATCCCTTTGGAACAGAGGGATTAAACAGGAGAAAAAAACCCAGAGGTTAGTGAGAAGTGTGGTTTCCCTCCCCTGTCAGCTCCGGGGGAGGGAAATCACACAATAATGGAGTTTGTGCTGGGTGGCACCATGGGAATTATTTGTACTGTCAGTCTGGGGGTCTGTGCCTGCACTGAGAAGAGGCTGGACAAGGTACCCCAAATGTCCCTGAATAAACAGAGGGTGCAAAGAGCCCAAACCCTCCATCCTGAAGCTTTTAGCAGGTAGGACAACCTGTTCAAGTGCTGCACTGCCCTCATAATGCCCACTTCTCTGCACAAATGGAGTCCAGGACTGCTCATCCCACCAAGAGAGGATGATTTACCACTCTACAACTGCTCAATATTTAGTACCAGGCTTATCAAATCCCTCCTAATCGTCTCCTGAACAGACACAACAAGCTCCTTGTGCATCAGACTTGTTTTCAAGCCTTTTATCATTTCTGTGGTTTCTTCAGTCTCTTCTTCCACGCTGAACCCTCCTTGGCACAGATGGATTTTGCCTGGGTCCTCCCTGTGTGGAGAGCAGCTCCCCTCCAACATCAGTCCAGACATTCCAGAATAACACACCAGCAAAGGCTGCATCCCTGCTGACTGATCCCCACATTCCTCATCACCACAGAGCTGCTGACATGCTGAGTTCTGCTTCATTCCTCTTTCCTAGCCCTGCTCTCCACAGCATTCACACCCCAGCTGGGATCCCAACAACCAAGATCCCAAATCACCTGTACCCCGTGCATCCTGCAAGGAGGCCTGAGGGGAGGAGGGGCTGCTCTGGCTGTGCTCAGAGATGCTCTCCAGCACTGGAAAACAAATCCCTGCCCCTCTGGGCTGGCAGAAGTGGGAAACGCAGAGAGAAAAGTGCAGCTGGGGCTGTGACCTTGGTTTGGAGCATCTTGTGGTGTCACCTGGAGCTTTGTGGGGCACACAGGGTGCTCCTCCCACCTTTCTCCAGCAGCAGGGCACTGGTCTCGGGTGAGCAGCTCCCCTCACTGACGAGGTACTCGTGGAATTCCTTGAAGCCAATGGACTGGAAGATGCCGTGCTGGTAATCCTGCCTGGAGAGCCAAAGGCAGGGCTCAGAGCGGGAGAGCTCCAGAGGGAGGAGCAGGGAGGGGCTGGCTGCTCACCCACCGGTTCTGTGCCACCTTCTCCTGGTTGTAGCGGCGGTGGAAGTCGCGCAGCTCCTCCAGCAGCCCCGCAGCCACCATGTCATCCACGCGCTTCTCCAGCCGTGCATCCAGAGCTGCAGCAGGAGAGCAGGCCACGCTGAGCCACGGGGAGCCCTGTCCTGGGGGGCTGCACAGCCTGCCAGGACAGCAGGCAGCACTGCCAGGCTGCTGCTCCACCTGAGGAAGGCAGAGCCCAGCAGTTCTCTGTCACACCCACTGATGCCAGAGGAATTGCTGCCTTCTCCAGGGAGGAGGCTGGGGCAGGAGCAGGGAGCCAGCCCCTCCTCAGCCAGCCAGGAGCCCGCTCTCACCTGCCTGGTCTGCATGGAGCCACAAGATGCAGGAATGTGGGTATTTCAGGGGCCCACCTAAGGGCCCCCCACCTTCCTCCTCCTGCTGCTGGTGCAAGATTTCACTGTGGGGGATCCCTGTCTCTTCAAACACCTGGAGGCTCCTGGAAGCAGAGACACACAGAGCTCAGAGGCTGGGTGAGAACAGCGCTCCCATTCCCCCCACAGCCCCGGGGCTCCAGCAAAGGGAACCGCAGACACTCTGAGCTCCAGCCCTCTCATGTGGGGGGAGGGCAGGCTCCAGCCCCGTCCCGTGCCCGGCATCCACGCACACCCAGCTCCTGGGGGTGCAGTGCTGGCACCCAGGGAGCCCAGAGCACAGCCACCCACTCCTGCCTGGCGCAGGGACAAGTCCTGCAGGGGACAGGGATCTGGCTCCAGCCCTGCCCTTTCCAGCCAGGCAGGGCTGCAGGGAAGGGACCAGCGCTGAGATGCTGCTGTGGAGCTTTAGCCAGCCCCAGCAGGGAGGGAGGGCGCTGCAGGAGCTGTGCTGGTGCCCCACCCTCCATCCCCCTGCACCGTGCGAATGGGGTGGGCGGTGTTCTGCTCCCCGGGGCCAGGGCTCGGCTGGGACACAGCAGCAAGCCTGGTCTTGCTGCCGTGCTGTTCCCACAGAGCTCAGCTATGTTACTCAGCCAGCAGGGCAGCTTGCTCTTTAAATAGCTCCAGACAAACCCTGCTGCTGCTGGGGCACGGAGGGGGGCAGCCCCAGAGCACCCCAAAGGCAGCTTAGGCTGGGGCTGTGCGACCAAAGGGCTCCGATCCCACAGAGTCCCCAGCTCTAAGAACCCGGGGGTGGGAATGCTCAGCCTGCCATGCTCCCAGGCACACAACTCCCTCGGGAAGGGCTGCTGGGCCCTGGCACCTCCTGGCCCTGGCACCTCCTGGCCCTGGCACGCCGAGCTCACCTGGCCACCTTGCGCTTGTCGTGGGGGTGCAGCTTGGCCGCCATCTCCGGGTCCACCTGGCTCAGGCGCCGGTGCAGCTCAGCGCTGTCCAGCTGCTCCAGCTCCACTTTCCTGTCACTGCCAGGCCTGGGGGCACTGCTGGGCTTCTCCTGTGGGGCACAGCACAGCCCTGAGCCAAGCCCTGTGTGAGCAACACCATCCCCCGGAGCCATGGGGTGAAGGAGGGGCTTTAGGTTCTCCTGCCCCTCTCCAGCAGGGACAGCACCGTGACAAATTGCAGGAAGTGTGCCTTAACCATGGGATTCCTCCTTTCCCGAAGGAATTCACAGCCCCCCACAGTACCTTGGTGTTGACAAGGACCTTCCAGAGCAGGGACTCGATGTAGTAGTTGGTTCCTCCCACAACAATGGGGATCTTGTCCCGGGCAAAGATATCTTCAATGTGCCAGAGTCAAGGATTGTAAGCAGAGATGCAGAGCCGGGGGGAAGGCTGTGGGAGCAGCAGTCTGGGGCTCAGATCCCACTCTCCCAGCCCCAGGGAACCAGTAAGGCTGCAGGACAGGGTTAGAGGTGTCCCTGGTCTCTCATTACTCTCTGTCACCTCTGCCAGCCACTACCAAAACTCAGGGACACCCCAGGACTGCCAGGGAGGGCAACACTCAGCACAGATCTTCCCTGGGCTGTCCTGAGGGTTAGCTGGGTAAAAGAAGCCACTCTCACCAGCAGAATCCTCTGGAGAAAGACTCACTTGGGATGTGGAGAACCTAACCATGGATCCCTCTGGCCACAGAGGGGGAAAGCCCATTCCTGCTCAGCCAGGCAGGCTGCAGCATGACAGGATATCAGAGGCACGGCTTTGTCCCTGAAATCCACCACGGTGTAGTTGGAGACAAGAGGATCCACAAAGCTGATCATGTGGTGTCTGCAGAGACGCTGCTCCTGCGGGGAAACCTTGTTGGTGATGATGTCCAAGCCCTTGTACACCTGGGGAGAGGAGAGCCTGTTCTTCACCTCTGTGAGACCTGCACTGACCACTGCCCCCTGTCCCTGTCACCCCTCCCTGGGACAGGCAGCACAGGCAGGGCACAGGCAGGGGCACAGCAGGGGCACGTGCCACATTCAGGCAGGGCAGCAGGAATCCTGCCAACACCTGCTCCTGCCAGGGCCAAGCTGCCTCTCTCTGCTGTTTGTTCCTGCCCACGGGAGATGAACCGTGGAGTCCAACGGCTCGTGACTGCTTTCCTGCTTTGATACCACCCTGTAATTAGGGGTGGGAGGGCTGATTGAGCTCTTGGACAGTGCAGCCAGAGCCTTGGCAGTGTCACCAGCCCAGCACAGAGCTCCAAAATTAGGGCCTCCAAGCTGCCACCCCCTCATCTGCTGCTGCAGTTCAAAGCTCACGTGTGCTGCTCCCCAAACATTTCCAGCACAGCACGGATCCTTGTGGGGACAAGGATCACTGCTTCCTGCAACACAGAGCAGATTCCAGGCAGGAGAAGTGAGGACAGCTCCTCACCTGCTTCCCATGCAAACACAACCCTCCTCAGCACAGGGAGCTGGCAGCTCACAGTGGGGCACATGAAGCCTTTCTGTCCAGCCCAGCCCTGTGCTGTGCCCAGGACTGAGCAGGATGGTGGCAAAGGAGGTGCTTTGGAAGGATGTGTTTAGTTCTCAGAGCCTTTCCTGCTTAAGAGAAGTCTCCCAGCATGGGATAAACCGGGATGATGGGGAAAAAGACTGGAAATGGCTGTACTCATTTCCTCCTCCATCCCCCCCAGAAAGCACCCCAGCCAGACTACAAGAAATAAATTTCCCCTTAATCCCCTCTGAGAAGCTGCCAAGCCTCCTGCTGCAGCACCACCTCCACCCACTGCTCCCCTGGTCCCAGACAGGAGGACAAGGTGACACAGAGGTGACCCACGGGCACCAGGCACAGAGGGATGATGTGAGGTTAGTGGAGCAGGGAAGCCCCAGCCCTGCCTGCAGCAGTCATGGCAGCTGCTGGAGCTGCCGGGGTGGCTGAACCAGCTCTGCTCCCACCTTGCTTAACTCCAGCCCTGGGAGAGCCAAGGCTGGCTCCTGCTCCCATCCCAAAAGGCTCGCCCAGGGGGCAGGAAGAGAGGAAGAGAGGGAGGGCAACCAAAGCTGCAGAAAGGCAGCTGCCCCAGGGGATGGTGAGCAGGCAGGACGGGCCCACAGGCAGCTCTGCCAACGTGCCCCGTGGCTGCGGGCAGCTTATTGATCCCTGGCCTGGCAGCTCCATTCAACACGGGCTCCAGCCGGCACAGAAAAGCTTTGAATTCAGTGAGCTTTGGCTCCGTGCCTGCTCTCCCCATTTCCAGCCCTCCAGCTCCTCCAATTCCCACTGCCTGCCCGGAATCACAGCGAGCACAGAGGGCTGGGAGTTCAACCAGCAGCTCCCAGTGCCCTGCACGGGCACATCCAGGACACAAAACTCAGGCTGCTATCCCCGGCTCCTCCTGCAGATTAAACACCCAGAGCCTCCTGGAATAGCTGGCAACAAGGGCAGGAATGCGGTGTCAGTGTGTGGGCTGGCAGGAAACAAAGGCAGCCTTTTACACACAGGCAGTAAGCCCAGAGAAGGTTTCCACCAGCTGGCTGTCGGCAGGGCCTCGCACCGAGACGTCCTCCTGACACTCATTTCTATTTTCAGCCAGCGCCTCAGATAAGCCTTTGTTGCTTTCTAAGGCCCCAAAACAGATTAGCAGCAGCCTGGAGCAGCCGGGCTCCGAGGCACAAGGAGCACAAGGCAGCACTAAAGATGCTTAGCCTTGGTGGTGTCCTCCCACCACTGCACTGAGCCTCTTGCACTGGGCTGGGAGGTCACCCTTGGAAAACGTGGGGAAACTGAGGCACAGCACACAAACCCCATGATTTTCAGGATCTGCAGCCTGGGAAGGATCTCCCAAATCTTTGTTCTCCCAAATCTTTGTTCTGCCGCTAGTTCTGTGCATCATTTCAAACTCTGTCACCACTGGGGGGAAAGCACCGTGCTCAGCCTGAGGGCAAGGAGTGTGGGAGGTGACAAGACAGACCCCAAACACAGCCAGGAAAACATCAGGATTTCACAGGGGCCATGCTGGAGAGGGGCATGGAGGACCCAAACCAAGAGAGGGTGCAAGGAGAGCATGACTGACTCCCTACCCTGATCCCTGCAAAGGCTCTGGAGATGTCCTGACTCCACACACTGACTGGCAAATGTGTGCTACAGCAACTGCATCACCACTCCCAAGGGAGAAATCCAGAATGGACAGTGGGATCCAGAAGGGACAGTGGGATCAAGAGTGGATGGGGCCCTCATCAAGCTGGCACAGGGATCCCTGCATGTTCACTGCCAGGAATGAAGAAACAGGACTGCCTTCACCCTGCCTGGCTCTCCAAGGAATTATTTACTCCTCAACCAAACTCACTGGGATGACAAACAGCAACAGAAAGGACAAAAAGAAAGATTAAGAGGCCAGCAGATTAACCAGAGCTGCTGAGCTGCAAGCAGGCAGCAGTTAAGTCTGTAATTTGAGCACGGCGACCCAGAGCCATGACGAAAACACCCTGAGATGGATAGAGGAGTGCCTGTGTGTGGGAACAGGTGGGCTCGGGGCTCCCCAGCCCCTTCCCCAGCCCGGCTCCCGCTCCAGCAGCTGCCCAGAACACTGCCAGCATTTGTCAGCGCCGCTCAGAGCCCAGCAATGAATGCACACAGGGGCTGAGGGCGACGCGGTGCCTGGCAGCTGTCAGTCCCCAGCCAGCAATGGGATTTCCACACCCCGCGAGGACAGCAGAGCCAGCCCCGCGTGGCAGAGGGACACGGCACCGGGAACAAAGGCAGAGAGAAAGGAGAACCGGCCGGGGGGCAGCGGGGGTCGGCGGAGCAGGCGGGAGCCGTGCCGGGGGCCGCCCCCCTCGGCAGCACGCTGCGTTACGGGATAAAGCAGCCGAGCCGCCGGGCCCGGGCTGCACGGTCACGCTAGAATGAGATTAAAGGCAAGCAGGACAAGAGCCACCGGAGCCTGGATGCCTCCAGGTGCCTGCAGCAGGGTCCTCCCTGCTCTGCATTCCCATGGTGGGGACGGAAAGGAGCAGGACACAGAACGCAGGATCGGAAACATCCACCTGCAGGGATCCAGCTCCCAACATCCACCTGCAGGGATCCAGCTCCTGAACATCCACCTGCAGGGATCCAGCTCCTGAACATCCACCTGCAGGGATCCAGCTCCCAACATCCACCTGCAGGGATCCAGCTCCCAACATCCACCTGCAGGGATTCACAGCGTGCCTTGAAGCTCCAAAAGCACCTGCAGAGGCCAGGATGCAGCAGCAGCCTGGTGGCCACAGCATGGTCCAAGCCAGCAGCCACTTCCCCAATATTCTTCACATTTTGTCCTGTCAGGATTTCAGTTCAGCTCAGGCCTCATTTTTTCCCCCAAGAGCTTAAGGGAAATATTGCATGAAATTACTTTCTGATTGCTTGCCCCAAATTCAGGAGAGTGAGGTGTTAAATTTAGCTCAGTGGGACACAAACGGTGACCAGGGAACAGGGAGGTGGGCACAGGACAGTGGGAGTTGATCTCTGAGCAGCACAAAGGGTGCTGCTGGCAGAAAACACCTTTTTACACAGAATAATAAACACATTTACCATTAAACTTGATGGAAAGTTCAGGCACTACAGGAAGTGAACAGTGAAAGTGTGGCTCAGTAAGGAAAACATTTTGCTGAACAATAGCAAAATTGTTATTCTTGTGGTGGCTGAAATGTCCACCCTGTGACAAACTTCTTGTAGCTGAACAAAATTAAGACAAAAAAAAGAGTTTTGGCTCCTTGCTGTTGGCTTATCCCAGCCATACAACTGATATATTCCACACTGCTGCTTGCAGGGAGAAACGAGACCATGGACACTCACTGGCAAGGAGAAAATATAATTTTTAACACTCTTCCCCAAATCTCTTGGTGTCCCTTTGCTGATGCCAGAGGATACCACCCTGTGTGTTGCTCACTACCAAGTTACTCCCCTTTACTCAACGCTTTACACCTCTGTGTAGCTTCTTGTGGGTTAAAATTAAAACACCTTTGCTCTGGTTTAATCCTGAAAGGTGAATTTATTAGGGATGGGGGGCTTAAACAAAAACCCTGAACAAATCCCGCAGTTTTGGTTGTGTTCAGAGCCCACAGGGCAGGGAGGGGACACAGAGGCACTGTCACACCAACCAAAAAACTGCCCAGTGGGATGGGCACTGGGGACAGGACAGGGACACTGGGACAGGACAGGGGCACCGGGGACAGGACAGGGGCACCGGGACAGGGACACTGCAGCTGGCACAGGGACAGCAGGATGGGTTCTAGGGACAGGACAGGGGCACCGGGGACAGGACAGGGGCACTGGGGACAGGACAGGGGCACCAGGACAGGGACACTGCAGCTGGCACAGGGACAGCAGGATGGGTTCTAGGGACAGGACAGGAGCACCGGGAACAGGGCAGGGACACTGGGGACAGGACAGGGGCACCGGGAACAGGGCAGGGATATGGGGACAGGAGCACTGGGGACAGGACAGGGACACTGGGACAGGGACACTGCAGCTAGCACAGGGACAGCAGGATGGGTTCTAGGGACAGGACAGGGGCACTGGGAACAGGGCAGGGATATGGGGACAGGGCAGGGACACAGGGAGCGCATTCAACGGGCAGGATCCATCCCGTGGGCTGTCCCCTACACGCACCCGGACACGGGGCCGGGGGGAACCGGGGGGAACCGCAGGGAACCTGCCTGGACCCTCCGGGGCTGAGCTTCTCCAGGCCCCGACCGGGCCCTGCTGCCCCTCCAGGCCCAGCTCGGACTTTCCGCGGGGCAGCCCAGGAGGCCCCGGTACAGGCCGGACCTCTCCCGGTGCGGCTCGAAGCTCCCCCGGTGCGGCTCGAACCCCTCCCGGTATAGCTCAAACCCCTCCCGGTGCAGCTCAAACCCCTCCCGGTGCAGCTCAACCCCCTCCCGGTGCAGCCCAGGCCGCCCCCGGTGGAGGCCGAGCCGCCTCTCCGCAGCCCGGCCCAGGCCCAGGCCCCGCCGCGGCCTCCGCGGTGCCGGCGCCGGCCGTACCTGCATGGAGTCGGCGCTGACGATCTCGCCGCCGAGGCGCAGCCCGAGCTGCAGCGCCAGCGCCGACTTCCCGGTGCCGGTGGCTCCCAGGATCACCACGAGCGGCCGCGGCGGCCGCGGGGCCCCAGCCAGGGGGCGGGCCGGGGCCGCCCGCGGGGAGGACGGGGCCGGGCCCCGGGCTCCGTGTGCCGGGGCTCGCCTCCGCAGCCCTCTGCGTGCCCCTGTGTCCCCACACTCGGTGCCCCGTGTCCCCACAGCCAGCCCGGTGCCCTCCCCGTGCCCCGGGTCCCCACAGCCAGCCCGGTGCCCTCCCCGTGTCCCCACAGGCAGCCCGGTGCCCTCCCCGTGTCCCCGGGTCCCCACAGCCAGCCCGGTGCCCTCCCCGTGCCCCCGGTCCCCACAGCCAGCCCCGTGCCCTCCCCGTGCCCCGGGTGCCCAAACCCCTCCCCAGTCCTTTTTGGGGTCCCCCGTTATCCCCTCACGGCCTTGCCCACGCCCGGGGCTGTGCCCGGTGGTCCCTTTCCCAGCACCGGGCGGGAGGGATGCTGTTGCGGTAGCAACGGGGCAAAGCGATGGGGAGCGGGGCTGTTGCCATAGCAACGGGGCAGAGCAGGAGGATGCGCGGGGAGGTTGCCATAGCAACGGAGAGGAGCGTGTTGCCGTGGCGACCGCAGCTTCCACCGAGGCTCGTCCTTCCCATCGCCGCGGCAACAGGAGGAGATGGGAGCGGGTCTCCGTGGCAACAGAGGGGAGGGAAGAGGGGAGCCCGTTGCCATGGCACCTCCGCGGTGCTGCTCTCCCTGGCAACACGCATCCCCGGCCCTGGCAACAGCGAGAGGGAGGCTGCGGGCCGGGGGGGTGCGGGCAGCCGGCCCCCCCTCGGCAGCGAGGGGATTATCTCCGCCTCGGGAAACTGTCCTAAAAATTTGCCAGCCCAGGCGTGAAGGCGGCGGCGTGCCCACAACACCCCCCGGGCCAGCACGGGCACGGCGGGGAAGATGTGGTGGGCAAGCAGAAGTGGTTTGGGGGGGTGCAGCAGGGTGCTAGCAGGGCAGCGTGCATTAAAAAATAACTAATTCAGGCCCTGGCAGTGCCGGCTTGTGATGATTGCAGCTGACACTCAGAAACTGCGGTGCTGAACAAGCAAGAAGAGAAGGAAAGCCCTGTGTGCTTATTTTCTTCACTTCAGAGCACTGTCAGGCTCCTTCCCTCATCGTGACCGTGACAATATGAGAGGAGACACGTGCTCCAGTAACCAGGGAGGTTTCAGGTAGATGCATGTGAATGCAGGCTCCAGGCAGGAGAACTCAAAGGTGTTTACAAGCTGCAACTCAGTTCTTAGTTTGATTTGGGCTTTGGGGACATCTCCCACTGGTGACAGTCTCAGCTCAGGCTGCTTATCACTTCCAAGAAAGATAATTAATGTTTTAAACTTCCTATGCACCTTCAGCACGAACAGAAATTTCGGGAGGGTCACCTTGAGCTGAGAAAAGACGAGAGACTGCGAGTGTGAGAGCCACAAAACCACAACAAAAATAACCATCGAGGAGCTGCTGCATCTGGGCTGCGTCTGCTGCGCATGGGCGAGGTGTCAGATTTAGGTCACCCCGCTCCCTGGCTAAGCTCTGGGTCATGGGAGCACCTTCTAATGCAGCTCTGGAAGGCTGTGACACCGAGTGGTGCAACACGGGCTGTGAAAGGCTGCTGGGAGCGAAGGGGATGGGTGTTTGAGGGTTTCTGTGGGGAATATTGCTGTTTAAGGCTGGTTTTCCCCGGGTGATCGAGGCTCCAGCAGCAGCTCCTGGCTCCTCGGCAGTAACATAATCCACATCCCTCCTGCATTTAGAGCAAGGCTTTTGCTGCCAGGACAAAGGAAACCCAAACGTGTCAGGTTTGGGGGCAGCAGGGAGAACACACGTATATATAATTTCATCCACTCGGCAGATCTGGGATGTGGAGGGCTCTGGAAGGAGTGGATTGCATTCCCCCTCCCTCTAGGGTTACTGCCAGCCCCTGACCCGTGGGGCAGTGATCACCCCACAGCCCCTGCCCCAAACCCCATTAGGGGGGTTTACAGTTACATCAAAGCCTTCTCCCAGCCCAGCCTGGGCTCTCTGCCCTTCCTTGCCACTAAAACCACTTGAAAGGAGGAAAAATAATCCAGGTGATTCATTTCCCTGGCCCCAGCACCAACAACCACTTCTTCAAGCACTGGGAGAAAACCAGGACAAAGAGCTCAGTCTTGGTGCAGGCTGAGCCCTGGGGCAAAATAGATCAATTAATTAATTTTTATTCATGCCCAGGATACCCCAAAACCCAGGGGCCAGAGCAGCCCCCCCAGGAGCCCCAAAGTGATGCATAGAAACCCACAGCATGGAAAAAGCCAACCCAGGCTGTTGCAAACTTATTTATTCATGAAGTATGAGGTAATGAAGAAAGTGCTAAATCCAACCAGTGTTAACTCTAACAGTTCTCAGCAGGTCAGCAGGGACCCCAGGGTGCCATCCTGTGGGACCACCCCTGCCAGCACCCCTGGGAGGGGACAGGGGACTGTGCCACCCCCAGACTGGGCAGCAGGAGGGCACAGACAGGGAAGGCAGAGCAGCGCCCTGCAAAGCCCAAAGCTTTGCTGGGGATTTTAAGGGGCTGCTGGTGAAGGAGAACTCACAAGGGTGGAAAAGAGGGGTCACAAGGATGCTCACAAGGGTGGGAAAGGGATAAAATTCCCTGTTATTGCAAACGGGTGGTTTGGAGAGCTGCAAAGGGGTTAATGGCCTCTGCAAGGACTCAGCTCAAGGGTCCAGCAGGAACCAGCCCCTTCCTGATCTCCCTAAAGTGCAGCAGGACTGAGCCCTCCCCCACAGCAGGAAATCCCCCTTAAAAAAAAAGTTTTTATATATTTATATATATATAAAAAAGCAAACTCTTTACCAATACTTCTCAAAAAGTGGTACAAAAATACAGTATAAAAACACAGCCTCCAGTATCAGACTCGCAGTTACAGCAGCAAGTTTCTAGAACATAAAATCCAGGAACCAGCTGCTGCGTGAAGTGACACGAGGAAGTGAGGTACGGTCCAGCCGAGCACGGGCAGTGCCCACGGGGTGCTGTCCATCCTGGTGACGGGCATGTCCTGCCGTCCCCACCTCCGTGGGACCTCTGCAGAGGTGTGCCCGTGCTGGGCTCTGAGCCTGCCTGCTTCCAGGGGCCAAGGCAGACGTGGTTGCTTGGGGTTTTCAGGGCGAGGTGGATGCCCCGCGATGCTGTCGGTGGCAGGTGGCAGAGAGGGGTGCAGGGGCTGCTGGGGAGGGGGAATAAATCTGAGCTCTTGAACTGGAGCAGTCGCTGAGGAAGCTTCACAGCAGGGACAAGGGAAATTTCGGAGCACCCAGTGCCAGGAACCAGGGCAGGCGACGCTGTTGGGGTCTTTGCTGTGGACCCATTCCCACGTGCCGCAGCCCCCGGGGCCAACAGCTCGACAAGCAACCAAAAAATTTAAAAAATGTGCAAATTGAGAAGGAGCTGGGGGTTTGTGAGGACCAGGGCGGGGGGCACACCGGCTGCTAGTGCCCCTTGAGGTGAGCAATCCTTTTGAGCAGCTGGCTCTGGCGCTGCTGCAGCTGCCGCTTCTCGGCCGCCATCCTCCTCTCGGCGCTGACCAGGGACTGCAGGTACTCCGAGGATTTGCTCAGGATCACCACTTTGGGGGCCTTGGGGCAGCTGGCCAGCCCGGGCACCTGGTCCCTGAGGGCCAGGAAGCGCGAGCGCAGGTCGTTGCGCCGCTTGCGCTCCAGGTAATTGTGGTTTTTCCTCTTGGCCACGTCCTCGCTGTCCGAGCCGGGGTTGCTGCTGGGTTTTGGCAAGCCGGGCTCAGGCGGGGGCACGGCAGGGGTTGGCTCCACAGCGCTGGGTGGCTCGTCCTCCTCCTCCTCCTCTTCCTCCTGCTGGGGTGACTGGGGCGGGGGGCAGGAGTCCGGCGGCGAGCGGGCGGCGTAGTTGTGCTGCTGCTGGTGCACAGAGATGTGGAAACGCTTCATGCAGGGGTCCAGGGGGTCGGCACGGAGTGTGATGGTCACCGGCTTCCTCAGGCTGAGAGGTTGTCTCTTGTCCACTGTCACCACGTCGATCTCTTCACCTTCTGCCCCCGCGGAAAAGAAAACAAATCTCCGTCAGATGGGAATGCCCAGTCACCCGTTGTCACCTCTCTGGGGGTCCCCACAGCTCCCTGGAAAATGTCCCCACTAAAGTTTGGCTGCAAACTCTGCCACCTCCAGAAGAGATTGAGTGATTTAAGGGCCCCTTCAATACCATCACGTGGGAAGGAGTGGAATTCCCTCCCTGATTCTTGTGCCTGGTCGCCCAAGGATGGACTGGGAGGTTTTACTTCCGCCTCACTTCAGCACCAGGAGCAACATGTGTTCATCATAAAGGATCATCAGGAAAGAAACACCCGAGCCCTCCTGCGAGGCGGGGGGAACCGGGGGAGCAGGATGCTGGGACAGCCTCGGTCCAAAGTTCATCCCGCTCGGGTGCTTTCATAGCCCATTGGAATTGTAAATGAGGGATAGAAGGGCAGAAGTAGCCTTTGTTCCCCTCGGCTGCGGCTTCCCACCTCGGTGACTTGTTACTTTTCACAAGTGATAAAGCCCATTCAGCCCCGGCTTCCCGGGGACAGAGGGGACAATCCCCCACTGTGCAGGGAGGCACGGAGAGGTGAAGAGGTCCCTACAGCAGACTCTGAACCTCAAAGGCATCTCAAGCCCAGAAAGACCTAAATAAAGCGTAATTGGTCCCGTTCTGCCTGCGGGCACCGCTGTTGTCCCACCCCAGCAAAGCCCAGTGGCAGGGAGCTGGCTTTGGGACAAGGTGAGCAGGCTCCCACTTTAGGGGATGAGTGATTGCTCCCACTTTAGGGGATGTGCTTCCAACTTTTTTCCTAAGCTTTGGGGGAAAACAGCCGCTTGTTAAAGGTCCCCCGAGACGCTCAAACTCCTTCCAGCATCGTGGGCAGAGGCTTGGCCCTACTCTCCAGTGAGGGGGGCTTCTGAGAGCGACCCCAGCCCATTCCCCAAACCCTCCAGGCTTTGGGGTTCAGCCCAGGAAGCCCAAGCCCCCCGACACGGGGGCTCCCGGGCAGGGGGACACTCACCATTGTCACAACCCGCGCGGTCTCAGCCCCGTTCACACACACGCTCATTAATAAAAACTCACCCCGCCTAGCCCCGCCCCCCGCAGGCTCCCATTGGCTGCCCCACGGGGCCGGCCGGCTGTTCTGCCACCCCATTGGTCCGCGCTCCCGTCCGTCAGCGCTGCCCCTCTCATTGTTTGCAATCTGTTGCTTTTTGTTCGGCGCCCACGTGGCGCGGCCGGACCCCTCCGGGACCCCCGCGGCACCGGGACCCCCGCGGCACCCCCGGGGCCCCCGCCAGCCCCCCGCATCTTCGGGTTAAGCCTCTTAGCGCCCGCGACCTGGCTTACAGCCCCCGGGCTCCTAATGGCATTAAGCCCCGCGCCGTGACTCACCGGCGCAGGTGGCGGCCACCGGCAGATTTATTAACGGGGTCACGGCACCGCTCCCACGGCAGCCCGGCCTCGGCGGGAGCGGCGGAAACACCGCGCGGGGCTCCGGCCGTGCCGCAGAGCCGCGGGGTGTTTGCAAAGAACGCCGAAAACCGGCGTGAGATGGGAGAGATGCGGGGGGTTCGGGGGTGTCCCCGTCCCAGCACGACCCCCGTGCGAACACCCGCACGCCCCACGCGG